ATTATCATAATTAATAAAACTTTGCAAAAATGTAAATGCAATTAACTGTACAGCAGGGTGCATTAAGAGGTACAGAGCAGTATTTTCTATGAGCCTCCATCCTTCAGAAGTTCCCAAATACCTCCCCATAACCTGACAGTGATGGGATATTTTCCCCTCCCCATATAATTTCCAGTTAGCCAATATATTTGCCTTTAGCATAAGCAACATTATACCTCTTATATTTATATATCTTTTATATATGCTTAACACACCATTCTTTCAGCCTTTAATTAATCAAGTACTGCTAGAGCTAGTTTTGCACCTGTTTCAAACACTTTTTTCCTTTCTTGTTTGATTTCCTCCCCTACCCCCTTTGCAAATTCCTCCTACGTTTACATGCTTGCTTAAGGGACTGCTATGGGATTTGGTGTCTCTCACTAGGTCTAGCTGCTTCTCTGGAAACTCTTGTCCCCCAAGGCTGATCCTATAAGCGAAAAAACCCACCAAGCTCATCGGGTCATTATAATTTCAGAGCATTTTTGCAATGCTTTAACTGTGAGTCCCCAGCCTGGGTGGATCCAGATCTCAAGAGCTGTAACTCTCCAGGCTCCCTTGAGAGCTGTAACAGTTCTTATTCTTGGATCCCAAGTTATTATTACTGCTTTGTTAGACCAAGCTAAGCAAAACCATGATAGGACACAGGTTAGATATTTAATCATGAAAAATCCTATGGCAGGAATTACTGGCTGCTCTGGTTAAACTGAAAGAAAATAAAGCTCCAGATGGGCAAAATCTGACAGCTGAGGCCCGGGGACTTGCCTTGATACACGGGTTCTGCCCTGCAGATAGCTGTTCTCCATCTCCGTTGGTCATCCACAAACAGCAGGTCATCTTCATGAGTCCGGCAAGGATGCTGCAGACCTTCCCGTGGCTCGAGTCTGCAGCAGTTACACTGAGTCACTTGATCTCCTGGCTTATTAAACTCTTCCACAGTATTGTTTTCAGGCTTCCCACGTACTTTACCATGCATTACATAGATTTTCTGCCCACTGTCTTTCTGAGCTTGTAAGAGAAATCTAATTTCCTTCATCTCCCATCGTGCTTTCTATCCCCCTTTCTCCAGTCATGCCTCCAGTATTTTATTTCTTTATTAACATCACCACTGTCCACAAAGAGATGCAATGGGTTCTGCTTAAAGAGTTTCTCTCTTAATAAAGCCTAGAATAGCCCATACTCTATTTGGAGGGGGGGGTTTAATAGTTTCCCCACTACTTGCTCTCCTGCTCTATTAATAGCAACATAGAGGACTATTTTTAGCTTGCTCATATCTGCTGCTCTCGCTGATAAAGCGTACCTTTGGTTTATTACTGGGTTCTTTAAAAAGGATGCTTGCATCCACACCCAGTAACTGCAGCCGGGTTTTATTCTCAACAGTTCAGCCTGCACCTTGTTCAGTTAGGGCAGGAGCAAGACGATCCGGTCCTTGTGAGGTCTGTACAGTATCTCTCCTACCCGCTAATATCAGTGCCCGCTGGCATTCATGTAGGTGACACTCCACTGACAGGTTTCCCTAAAACCTGGGAGGGGCATGAGCAGATGGGACTACAAGCGGACTGTGAGGGTAAAAGCCTCAAAGACCATCCCAGCCCAGGCTGCTGGGGGGGGTTTGGCTCCGGACCCTGAAGTTCACGAGCAGAGTTCACGTGCTGCTGGTACCTGCTGTAACTATTTTTCTGCTTCCCTAGAACCAGGGGATGGGGAAATTCCCGTTGAAAGATGCTTTCCCAGTACTGGTCATTTTAGTGCAGAGGGTCTTAGAGCAGCTTCTTTCCACCTGAGTTAGAGCATCATCGTGTCCCGAGATCCACTTCCACTCCGGAGTCTTAATCAGTGATTTCCACAGTGGTCTGCAGATAACCAGCAAAGTTACGGATGTGCTGCTGTCAGAAATTAAATCCTCCTAATGGTGTTCTCAGTTGGGCTTGATAAGAAGCCTTTATTTCACACAAACCTTTAACCACTCTTGTACCTACAGGCTTGCCAGCTGTAATTCCCAGTAGTTAACCTCAGCTTGCACTAATGGTGCCTACTTCAATCCCTGTTTGACCTACTAATTTTAAAACTTGGATACCTCTTACCTCTTCAGTAGCTCCGGTCGCTGAAGACATTTTTTCTTCATCCTCTGGAGACAATAGTTTGAACAAGATCCTGACATGAGCCTGTGCCTGCAGGCGCGCTGTGAAGCCCCGGCGGTACCTGTGCAAGGGTTTATTCCCTCTCTCCAAATGCAAAAGCAAATCTGAAAATTGATTCTTCAGTAAGCAGGATGGTGAAGAAACGGTTGGATCTATAGCTGAAACCCACTTGTTTTCTGGTAACTTAGCAATAATCACTGGCATGTTCGCTAAACTAGGAGCTGTTCTCATGGGGAATGCATTTCTTTGGCAGTATTCCACTGGCATTTGCTCGGATTTTCCATCAGCCTTTCTAACGGGCCGCAGGGGAAAATTATACGGGTTTGTAATTTCTCAAGAAACGCTTTGTTTAAAGTAATCCTTAACAATTTCACTCAGAGCATCTCAGCTTCTTTAGGATATGAGTATTTGTACGGGGGACCAGAAGGTCCCACTAGTTCAGCTTGGGCAATGGGTTTTACACAGAGTGGGGTTTTCTGCCGTCTTCCTGGGGTGGCTCTTTCCATTATTCTCCATCTGTCTCCCTTAAAGCTTGTGTCTCTCCTTTCACCCTTTATAACGGCCTTTGCCCTGTTTCTCTATTGCCGACACAAAAACCTCACCGTAAAAATCCAGTAAGAGTCCACACTCCATCTTCCAATCGCTTTCTAAAATAAGGGGATCTTCACTGCTGCATCAAAAGCCCGCTGCTACCTTCGTATCTCCTGGGTACAACCTCGAGGCGGCCCCCCAGGGTCCTGGTGTTTGGCACACAGGCACCCATTTGTGTGGGCAGTGCCGGGTCGAAGCCAACCTCTTTACGGATGACGTTGGCCAGCTGGGAGGTGGCAGAGATGCAGGAGCACCTCGGTGTCCTGCTGCTGCTCCTCTCAGCTGCGGTATCGCTCCTTCCAGCAAATCCCATCCCGTTTTGTCATTTCTCCTGCTAAATCCTTTAATGCTCTCCAGAGCCCTTAACATCTTTGATCCATTTTTTCCCCCCGATGTACTACCCCTGCCATCACCATTTCCCAAACATCCCCTACTCCTCTGCTCCAGTGTCCATCCCCTCGTTACTGCAAGCCACAGCTCCCGCTTGACCCGTGTTAAATGTTCCCCTTTTCTCCTGAACCCAGGCCATAATTACTAGCACCCCTCCGTTTGACCTCTACCAGCCCAGCCCAGGGAGGCTTCCCTGCGTTTGGGCAGCGAGTTCCTGTGACTCATCACCGGAGCCGCCTGTGCCTCGCCAGCGAAGAGCTGGTGGGATAGGATATCGCATCCTGCTGGTATCTTAGCAATTCTGCATTGGTTCGGAAAAATCTTCTCCATCTTCTCCCAGTTTCTGGATCCATCTTTGTGCTGCTGATTTCTTACCTATCT